GAGAAAATACTGCATGAAGCGTTTTATTAGCCCAGCCTATTTCATTTCTATTTGGAGGAAGTTTGGAACAATCAGGACTCTTCCTAGAGCTGAACAAACCAGGGAGACGGGCCGCTGTAAGAGCGCTGGCCGGGATCCTAAAGGATTCTCAGACCGTGAAAAACAAGATTATCTGGTCTGATGAAACCAATATCGAACAGTTTGGCCTGAATTCTAAACGTCCTGTCTGGAAGAAACAAGAGTAAAATAGTGAAGCAACATGGTGGTGGCAACATCATGACTACATTTACGTCTGTAACCTAATTGTTACATACCCATTTTAAGCCAAACCATGATCTTTATTTCTAAACCCAACAAATTAGTCTAATTGCCTTTTTGTTTTGCTTGGTTTTGTTTTACAACTCAACCAACTGTTTAAAACGGCAACCGTAATCTGGCACAATAAAACGCTTCCCTCAAAACATTATTGAGAATGTAGTGCAGTTGTCTGGCAATGGGTGACTGCAGAAGGATAGATACTTAAGCATGACACTATATTAAAACAATACCTGAATAGAATAAGACAAATTAGAATAACCCATTTATTAAAATCAGACTGTATTCAAATCAGTCAGGGTTGTGTTAGGCCTGAAGAGACAGGAGTGTAAATAAAGAAGCACATCAACGGCTCCACACCTGGTAATAAAAGCACGACCACCACAAGACAACACTCTCAATCTTCCTCTCTGTTATGAACTACAGAATCACTTTGTTTGTCTGAGAGCTCCTTTCAAACTGGAGCCTCCAGAAAGACCTTTTTACTCCCGTGTGTCTCTGAGCACATGCAGTTACATGCATGAAGGGTTTTTTTATGTCTTGAAACCACATTTTTCTGTTACATTTCCTTGAATTAAGAGGCCCGCCAGGGACAAAAGAGAGAGGGAGAGAGAATATGCAGTTGGATAACAAAAAGTCTTTCTTTCCCTCCGGCTAAAGATTTCCTTGAAGTGTCAGTCACTGCATCCAGAACAGGATTGCACAAAAGCTCGACAAGAGACTTTGCTATTAGTCCCATTTCATGCAGGTGTGGACACGCACACACTTTTAGTATTCTCTATTTTTCTTTTGCACCACAAGTGAAACACACATCCAATAATGTGAGTGTTGCTGGGATGAAGTGTGCTGTTATTGTGTTAATGGAAGAACTGTCATCATATATAGGATTATTTCATGTTGTTTTATAATAAGAGAGTGTAAATGTTTATTGAGCCCTGAGGGCACGTAAGCATATCTGACCTCATCTCCAGCAGATATTAAGAGTGTGCCGTCAGTGGGAGTTCAGATGGAAAGTAACTTCAGCTTCATCCGTAAATCACAGTCTGCTGCAGTCAATCGAACAGCTGTTTGGTTTCTGTGTGCAATTACAATCAGAGATCTGCATCTTCTGATACACTGCTTGACTGAAGCCATATTACCCATATGTGGAGGCAGGAAGAACATTTTGTGTTAAAGTCAAGAAAGTTATTTGCATACTTTAAAGGTGGGGTAGGTAAGTTTGAGAAACCGGCTCGAGATACACTTTTTGTTATATTCCATGGAATGCTCTTAACATCCCGATAGCAATGAATATCTTAAGTGCTTTGACAAAAAATCCATAAAGAAATGTCATCTGTGGAAGCCGTAATACTGTAAAAAGCACGACCAATCATTTTAGCCGGCCCGGCTAAAATAACTGGATGGCCTACCTGCCTGTCAGCCTTCCATCTGTGCACAAACTTATCTCGTGCCCTCATTGGTCATGTGCGCGTTCGTGTGTGTTGGAGGAGGGGCTCTGTAAGGAAGTGGCAGATTTTTTCCGGTTGTGTATTTTCAAATTCTAGCGCCCTCGAGCTGGTTTCTCCAAAATTACCTACCCCACCTTTAATCTTGAGGATATTTTAGTAATTCCACTTGGCCTGCTCGATTTATGGTTGGAAACAAATGTTACATTTAACGGTACATGTTCACAGAGAGTACGTTCACTTCAGGTACAATGTGTTGCCACTAAGTTTGCTTTAACTTGACTCAATATTTGAGTCAAGGACTTTTCCCCTGTGGCACTGATTTGACATCTCAGCTCTTGGTTGTGGAGGAAACTTCTGTGTAGTAATGCATGGAGTCACCGACTCAGGAAGGAGACACGGTGAGAGTTGGAGCTTTGATGTCAAACACTGATGGGTTTATTCAGAGTATCGGCCGGAGGATTCACATCACAAATCAAAGAGTCAGAGGTTCTGACCACACGGTAGAGTTGCCACGTCAATTCTGAAGAGCCTCTCTCTATGCTAGACCTTTTAACAGGTTCACAGAGAGAAATCAACATCTCTGAAGGAGTAGACTAAACACTGAATCATCTGCGTCCGACGTTCATGGCCTCAAGGATTTCACATCCTAGAGCCCACAAACACCGATAAAGAAGTGCCTCAGTGTTCTCACAACAATTACCCTACGTGCCAGTCAAGTTGACCGGTCTCACACTGGTGACAACAACACATATGGCACCAAGGCCTTTCCTTAAAGGAGATAACATATGTCAGAGTAAAAGGTTAGATATCTAGAAGAATTATTCCTTAACATTGGTTATAATACGATTTGTAAAACATATTTTCCCACCCATGAAACCACACATAACACATAAAGAGACACGGCCCACAAGCTTGCAACAGGCTCCTTTGTTGTACCCTTAAAACAACGAACTTACACTGGTTTTAAAAGTGCTGAAAAAGTGGAAGCCCGCAGAGTGTAAACCAATAAGTTATGTGTGAAACCAGAGGCTGGTGTCAACTCGTGCTTTTACAACTGGTTATAAATAAATCAGGAGCTGTGAGAAAAGTTTGAGAGAATAAGCGACAAAAAGGAAAACAGAGAGAGAATGAGAGGAAAGCGCAAGAATGCTGTGTGTGTGTGTGTGTGTGTGTGTGTGTGTGTGTGTGTGTGTGTGTGTGTGTGTGTGTGTGTGTGTGTGTGTGTGTGTGTGTGTGTGTGTGTGTGTGTGTGTGTGTGTGTGTGTGTGTGTGTGTGTGTGTGTGTGTGTGTGTGTGTGTGTGTGTGTGTGTGTGTGTGTGTGTGACAGAGAATGAGAGGTGATTACTTCATGTTAATCTAGTATCAGCTTTCCACCACTTGGAGGCTTCCCAGTGTATTACTCATTATCCGAAGACAAGTCTATTAAATACAGATTACACGGGGCGAGAGAAGGGCCCAGTATTCCTGACATTTCTCACAAAACATCTATCATCAAGGGTTATCTGGGGTTCTCGCCTTGATGTCCCCACTTTTCCTTTTGTTCCTTCATGTGTGTTTTTTTCCTCACTCTTATCCAGCTGTGCTCCATATTTCAACCCGTTCTTTCCAACAGATTTTAAAAATGGAGCTATCAATGTAATTCAAAAGAAGACACTGAACAAAAAAAGCTTTTAGACTTTTATCTGTCAGGGTTTTTCTTTTTACCAGGAGTCCTCGTGTTGTTTTGATGGCCTTGAAGATACGAGCTGCACATGGCCACATATTTCTTCATAATTACTTTCTGCTTTTAAAAGAAGAATCAATAGATCCATACGAGTGTACGTGTGAGTCCTGGTACAGTAAGTGCATAGTGGATGAGTGCTCCATTAAAAAAGGTAGTGCCTCAACAATCGCGAATCCAATAAGGTCTGTGCAGCCACATGCTAGCGTTGCATTTCAGAAAGCTGTTAACATCAGTTCTCGATTCTGGAGAAAGGGTCTAGTATAGAGTTTGTCTCCATGCCTGCTTAAAAAGCGATGAGCTATAAGGGGAGTCTTTTAAATCTTTAAACATGATGCATCCTTTTCCACATCAACTTAAAGACATAGAAATTAATATATAACAATATTGCAACATCAACAATGAATCATGACAGGAAGGGATCGCTACTGTGTTCAGGGCTACACCGTATTTATTATTTTCATAATCGACTAATCTGCAGACTATTCTTTTCCATTCATCAATTTCATCGTCTGTAAAATGTTGGAAAATACAAAAAACAGGCCATCTTGATTTACCTGAATACACAATTAAAATGGCTTGTTCAAATCTGATTGAAAATGTGTTTAATACTCCAGAAGCTATGAAAAATGTGGCTTCCTTGCTTTAAAAATTACAATTATTCAGTCATTGTTTCAAATGATTGCTCATTGTCATTAATTTCCAAACGGAGATTAGTGCAACATGGAGCATGTTTTACAAACGTGCATCGCTCTCAGAATGTCTCACAGAGATAAGGCTTACTTAGTCATTACTCCGTCACCTACTGCACATTTCAAATAAATGTTTTAGACTAGAGTAAATTGCCAACTGGCTTTCAGCAATTTCTATTGTAAAATATATGTCTGTATTGGGTTTAAATTAAAAACACATGTGGAGATGAATAAGAAGATGAGTTGCATTCAGCAGCCATATTTCTTAAGATATAAATAACTATTAATGAGTTTTGGTCTTGGAGTCTAAAGACAGAGCTGTCAATACATCTCCAGGATAAAGTTGAATATGCAAACTGGCAGGAGAGTAAGTGCACTATCAGAATAATTGCACATTTTCCACAAATGCGTCTCAGGAAAAACGATGTGTTTGCCATAATAGAAAAACACAGTGGAGACTTCTACATATTGCATACATATTTGCATAACAAAACATACTCTCAGACGGAAATGTACTCCTCTAAAGTGGATTGTCAGAACCATTACAAATATTCCTTTTATGTTTTTCTTTATAGTCTTGCATTCAAAACATATTTCATTAGATGTACCCAGGCTAACAGAGAGTGCATTTTATATATATATTTTATTTAAAAAAAAAAGAGATGCATGAACTTGACAAAATGAGGTTGAGGAAGGTCAGACCTCGATGCTTTGAAGCTGTGCAGCGCTGAATCAGTGATAACGGTTTTAAATAAAGATGTGGAATCCTGAACATAAAGCAGCAGCAGATCATGTGACAAATATAGGATAAAGATGAGACTCACCGCATTGAATCCTTGGAAGAGGCTGATCGCTGCGGCCGTATCCAATGGAAACGGGAAAAACTGCTTCATGCCCAGTGAGGTCTGGATGCCAGGCAGGGTGGGACGCACCAGGGTGGGCATGAGGCCATTTTGACATGTGTTACCTGTAGGAGGCAGAGCAAAGGCAACATATTGATATGCAGATGGCAGCAGGGAAACAAAGCTCAGCTGAAATCTTCCAAGTGAACCGTCAGAGTGTTTGTTTAGTCTGTAAAACAATGTGTCTCTGCACTGTGTAACATCTTATCTGTATTACTCATACATTCAAGTATTTACCTCCTCTGCTAACAAGGCAGCCAAAGTATGCATACCTTACATTAGTTCCAGCGAGTTGATTTGATTTATATTAATACCAGGAGTAAAAACAACTTTTCAGATGTTCTACAGTGGGTTGAATCTCAGCTGGAGGCACGGAAATCCCCCAAATCTCCAATTTGGATGGTTTTAAAGCTTCAACACTGGAAAAACCTTGAACCTCATTCCTTTCTGAGGATTTCCATCATTTAAAAGACATCATTTTATAACAAGGTTTTTATTATACATCACAAACTCCCAATACCTTCATTTTCTTTCCGTCATTTTTGGGTATATCATGTCATTTATCATTTTTTTTGACATAATAATATCAACTGAAGGTCTATGTTTTCTGAGCTTTCCAAGGCTTTAAATAGCAGAGTTGCAAGCTCCAGAATAACTTGTCAGACCTGGGGTTGAGATTATACAAGGTCAAGAGTGAATTTCCATGCTTTAATAAATAAATAGAGATTTTGCACCTTTTTCAGCATTTCTGTATGGTTTTATTTCAAAATATCAGTATATGATTACATAAATGTCTTTGAGATGTCTCTGAGAACGTAATTATTCATAGTTTATAGTTTTCATGCTTTGACGCTGAATGCCTGATGTTTGGACAAAATTAAAAAGGTCAATTTTTTCCTCTCAGCTATTATTGAAGTATGTGTACATTCGGAGGTTTGGCAACCCTTTAACGATTAGGAGAATGGTCTCCATTGGCTCAAAGATTGTGTCTGTGATCAATTGACTTAAGACTCAAGAATTCTGGATTTAGTTTCTTCTTTAAATCACAGTCAGACCTACATAATGCACTGGGAATAAACTGTAGATGCAGATGATAAGTGATACAGCGATGATGTTAATCTCTCCAAAACAGATGTTCTCATTCTGACTTGTCCCCACAAAGAGCTGATGTGGAATGACTGCAACAGGCACAGTTTGTCTTCTGAGATGAGTTAATGGCAAAGCAGGCCGTCACATCTCTAGGAAAAACAAAGTAAATACTTTACTTTTATTGTCATGTGAGTGCGCCACGCCAGCAGAGCGCTTTAAAACCCACAATTGGAAACAGCACACGGCTGATTTCAACACTACAGGATGAAAAAAAGGCAAAGAAAACCGTCATAGCCCTCCAAAACATTAGGAATTAAAGAAGCCATTTCACGAAGCTGTAATGAGAACCAGAGGGATGATTTCTTTATTGCTGCACATTTAACAACAGTGGGACTCTGGGCCAGCATGGCTCTAAAGCGCTGGCAGATACTGTATCAAACCGCCGTCTTGAGACAAATAAAAACACGGTTTGCCACGTTTTGGACCCCAGGCTGTGGTAAGGGGTAAATAAAAGTCATAAACACAAGAGGAGAAAAGGGAGAAACCACAGACTGTCTCCCCTTCTCCCACTCTGTCTTCGCCCTCCAGTCGCGGAGCGCTGCCATCTGTTGGAAAAAGAACACATGCCGTCTCTCATGTGGAGGCACGTCTTCGTCCCAACTTTAGCAAAGCATGTCATTCTGTAGGGATCATCCAACCATGCCATCTCTCGACATGCCGGCCTGACGTCAACCCACAAGCACGCCTCACCACGCGCCGGCCAAATCCAGCACTCACGGCCCGACAGTCAAAACAGGCCGTTCAAAGACACCAGGGCTGATGTGGGGGATTAGTCTGCAGCGAGATGAAGACTGACAAACTGAAATGTGAATTTTTACGATAGGGTCATGTTTGGTTTGCTGAGTGATAGGAGATGAAATATGATGTGTCATAACGACTGGAGTCCTTTATGACAAAACATCACACAGAGATGATTAGTTTCACATTACAGTCTTAAGTGTTTTGTATTGACACTGTAGCCGCTTGAAGAAGTATCCTATTCAGACCCTACAAGAATAAGCTTAAAACACTCCATATGAGTATTCATCTTGCACTTAAAATGTCCCTTCCGTAAAAGGAACATGGTTGGAAGTACATTGTGCCTTCTGTACCTTTTAAATAATAGTAACGTGATACTTTTTCTTTTTAATGTTGTACCTGGGCAAAGAAGAACTATTTAAACTACTTTCTTTTATCGTGTGTAGTTAGATTTTTAACAACACATCACATTTTAAACGTTGATCATATGTTCTGAATAAAAGATATTCTATACCATGCTGGGAACAGATGTGTTTCTTGCACAATCCAGCATATATAATCCTGCCTATATTTCCCACAAGCTATACACACTTCATCCATTTCAGGTGCAACTACAGTGACTCCATGTTTGGTTCTGAGAGCTGCTAAACTGAGGGTAACCCACATTCAAAACGGTGCCTGAACGCACCATGTGTAGACACAAGAGCACACATGGGCAATGAATATGCTATTCAGCACTCAATTAGTTTAGCAGGGATTGGAAGTAAACCACATTTGAGGACAACTTACAATTTTGATATAAAAGGCATCGTAGTTTTCCCCAAATTTTGTGACAATCTATTCAATACGTGTTGAGATATTTCCGTCTGGACAAAAGAAGTGAACCCACTGAACCACAGGATCCAAAAAAGGCTGATAAAAAAACTAACTGACTAAGAATAACTTTTATGAACTTTCTATCACACTAAGTCCTCACTTGCAGAAGAAGGAAAGAAGAAATTGATCATTGCCATCCTTCGAGACACGATGCTGCATGGCTAAACAGCAACATTTGTAAAGCAAGTAGTTACTATAGTTACCAAATAGTATTGCGGTTTAAAGTATTGAAGGTTGGTGAAGGAGAAGTATACTATACAGTAGCTGTAAAATAGAGACAGTGTTTGAGTAATACTTATTCTTCCTCAATTTAATTGTCACTGGATTTAACCTCGTTCACCTCATATACCTTCCACCCCCCGTTCGAGGTAAAATAAGGCAAACATATTTTTTATTTTGTCTACCTTTGTAAAAGATAACACGCAACAATCGCAATCCAGAAAAACATGCCTGAACAAAAAGTCACATTCCAGCCTGCAGCAACAGTTTCAACGCTTTCAGCCTGATCATCTGTCATCACCAGTAAATGCTGAAAAAAGATATTAGGCAGAGCAGAGAAATTAGCCCTGGCTGCTATTCTGATCTTTAACCCTGAGTCTGACACACGGACTTCAAGATGCTTCAACACTAATGCAGAAAAATCCTTTTACAGCAGGCTCTGGCACAGAAGCACAGATGGCAACCGCAATTATCACTTTGTTAGAGCTGTCAATATTTGACTTGAGTTTGGCTTAAAAATGTTAATATTTGAGTTCTGTGGCCTGCTTCTAAATTTTGACTCCGTCGACAGAGTGCAGGGCCCCGTGTGGCCTGAGTCTCCACGGCATGCGCTGTCATCTACTTCGCATAGAGAGTGGCTCGGGAGAGTGAAAGGTCAGCAGGCGACAATCATTAAAATAACTGAAAAGAGACTGTCTGAGCAGCCTGGGAGTTAAGTGTGGAAATGTGGAAAAAAAGACAGTTTTGCCTTTAGCCTAGTCTTATATTCAGTTTTTTAGTCTGGAACATTTATTTATCAAATCAAAGTAATCAAAACAAGTTCAAGCCAAACAAATAGAAATCATAAATTCAAATGACAGCCTGGTTATATGTCATTGCCCCATCTGTACCATGTCCCCCTGCACTCATTTATTTACATAGGGAATGAAGTCTCGTATCTGAGGGACAATTTCTCACTATGAGCTTCTCATGCAGCGACCGAGAGGAGGTATGTGGTGGTTAAAAGTGAAATGTGAGGTTGGGAAATGTTTGTCTATGTAAATTGTAGCCACAGATTTATTTAAAGCCACACAGAAAGCTGCTTAGAACCAACAAACACCAGGAATTCCAATAAAAAATGTATCATCAAAATGTGATTTACCTGAAAGTGTGCTTCAGAAAGAATCAGCTGATTGGTGCCACACCACCCCTCCTCTCTGTGTACTGCATGCATTGCTGGAATACTACTTGTTCTGCATTATCATTTAATTGCACGTGAATTAATTTCTAAATATGCAATATATAAGCATATTATTAAAATATTAAAAGTCTCAAAAGTAGTTTTTGTACAACTGTTTTGTTCAATCCGATCTTGTCTGCATCAATTCCAGATACCACAGGCAGCTGTTTTTAGCAAAAAAGCCAGAAAACGACTCTATGCCCCCTGCCCAGCACCAATTGTCAAAGTCAGGGACTAGCCTGTAAACATTTGGCAGCTAAAGAGACAAAACAGAGCTGGAAGGAAAGTGAATTGCACGTACGGTCTTCACATCACCAGAGACATGACTCGAAATGAATGTTAATGTTCCTCGATGTTTGCTGGATGTGTAAACAGTTTGCTAACACATTACCCATAACAAATTTATAAGGCATTAATATATTAAACGTGTGTTTTCCAGCTTCTCTCAGAGTAGCCAAACGAAACAAAGTAACGCAGCTTTAAAAGCTCTTATCATGTCAGATGATATAATGCTTTAGGGGTGCATATTCTAAAACACAATTTTAATTAAATTACCACAAACCAGTTGACACAAACTGAATCTAGGGCTTTTTTAAATTGCTTTTCTGCCTGCTTTGCCCAGAAGTGTAACGATGCAAAACTAAGATGAAATCTGACTTCCAGAAACATTTGAAACAGATCAAAATTGATGAAAGTTTTTTTACCCAGTGGCCTTTGTTTATCTATTCTCTTTGAGGCTGTGTTTAATGATGCAGTTTATACAGTGTAAGACAATACGAGCAGTTCATTGGACAGGATGTGTGTACTGTACATCAGGGTGTGTTTCAGACACGGCTGTCCTCTGCATTGCCCTTCCTCAAAGATTCCCTTATCTGGGCTGAAGCGCTTTTTTACTCCTGCGGCATTATGTCGAGAGAGGGGGAGAGTTAAAATGATGTCTGGAGGACGCCGTCTGGCATTAATAATTAATCATCTTGCTCCGCTCTGCTCCACCGTCCGCCTCCTTTTAGTGTCCTGAACCTGGCTGCTCCCCTGATAAGATCTGCCCAGAGAGACTGAGAGTCCACACCGCCGGAGAGCCTCCAAATAAAAAGCTTGCTCTGGCACATCATTCCTTTTCCCTCAGCAAACATAAATCCAATTATTAGATAAATCTGAATTTCTCTGAAAGTAATTTGTATGCTGATGACGCTTCAGATGTGATTAACACCTTTGTGTTTTCCTGGAGTGTGCTGATTGTATTCTGCGGCCCTTAGCACGCTCTGAGATCAGTACCACGCTTCCAGCGAGGAGGATAAGATCATTTCACCCCTATTAAATCGAACAAAGTGAACAAGAAGGACAGATTTAAAGCATTCTTATTTTTTTTTTTGCTTTTAAGCTAAACTTTCACTGATTTTACAATGAACCTTTACAGGATAAACTCTGTGTTCGTAAGAAATCCCATAAATCTCACAAGCGTGTGGCATACAGCATGCACTTTGCTCCGAGGTACATAACTCCTCTCCAGATTAGCATACTGTAGCTTTTGCTGCTGTCATGACTGAGGCTCGCTAATAAACACAGCTGTCTCTGAACCAGACCCAAAAATCACTTCCTATGTGCTCTGTAATCTGAGGTTAACCAAAAATATGTTTACGTGCCATTTAACGCCGACCACAAAGCCAGACACACAGGATCGTTTTCCTCCGGGCCCTGGACGAAACAACACTAATAGCTTGTATGATTGCAGCACCAACTAAAGACCTATTAGCCTGCTGGGTTACGGCTCTTTTTACGGCCTTCTTTTGATGTATGCAAGAGGAGCATTTTCTTTTGATCTGTTTATATTCTTGTCGTGTTTAAAAGAGGTCAAGAGTCGATGATATATCACCGGATAATAATTACTTTAACAAAAAACGTGTTCCAATTAGGTAGCAGCAATGCAGAGTTGCTGAACAAGCAGTGTTATTAATCTTTTAACAGATACCATCTATTTTCTCTCTGGAGTGCAGTGCGGTTGTGCACTAAGGATTCATAAATGTTAAAGCAATGCAGCTCCTGTACACAAACACAGTGACCTTTACTCCTCTTGTTGTTTGCTTCACATTGAGCCCTGGAGACAAGTTGGTTCTTTGTCAGACAAAAAAACGTATGAAAAGAAACATCACCAACTCTCTTCGTTTGATTTCAGGTTAAAAAATGGGACAATGTCCAAACCCATCCATTCTTTGCTTTCCAGAAGCTGCGCACCTGACTGACGTCGGCGGTCGATTCTCAAAGAGCTGAAGCTGTCTCTGCACCTGACAGCATATTCATTTATAAGCCACCAGCAACCCCCCCCCCCCCAACCCCCTCCTTCTCTGTGTATGGCATAACAAGAGAAAATCCTTCTCGCACTTACAAGCCACAGTCTGTAACTTCAGATCACTTTAATCCCCGGGATGAAAAAGAAAAAAATAGTTTTTCATTTAACAAATCACCCCCTCAGAACTCCGGATCCCTGTGTAATTATTCCTCCTATGTGACTGTAAGCCAGCCGTGAGAAGAGCACTTGACGAGAAGCCACTTGCGCATTAAGTCTTCCTAAGCCTCCTCTAGTCTCCTCCATAAAAAACGAATGGAAGGGGCCTTTCCTTCGATTTCTGTAAATATACTATACAGATGAGAATATCAAGTGGCTCCCAGTGCTGCCATCTCTGATCTTACTTGAATTCCTACGAACAGTCAGCTGGTCACAATGAAATCCGAAGCTTGTATTCTCAGCAGCAACACCACCTGGGATTCAGTCCAATAAACCAGAACATGAGCAACACAAAAGGGGGTTACCTGAGGAGCAGGTTCATTCAACAGTTTTGGGATTCCTCAGTGTGCAACTTCCCTGTAACAGCACCCGGCTCCCCACATCCATCTTTTTTAGTTTCAAGAACAAGATACAGGCGGGCTGGAATCCATTTACATCTAGGAGAGGGGGGAGTGTGCACTTATACTGTGCATTTGACTGTGATAAAACCCATGCAGTGAACACACACACAAAATAAAAAACAGAATCTCCCTAGTGGGTAACTTCACACTGTTTTGCCTTTAATGTAAACCAGCGCTTCTCCTGTCCGTGCTCTCAGTAACCAGAACAAGTCAAAACAAACACTCTTAGGTGAAGGAATCTGCGGACACACACAAGGATGAAATGATGCATGTGAACACATATAAATACAAACTCACCAAAAAACATGCTGCTCTCCATGACTCCTCAGGCTCTGGGATGTGCTGTATTTCCTCTCTGGTGCCTTGCCAGTGTGTGTGTGTCCATGGAAAGCAGCCTGGGCATGTCTCATACACTCCTCAGGGGTGTGTGTGTGTGTGTGTCTGTGCATGTGTGTTCAATCCAACTGCAGCGTCAATGGCCAGTCTGCGCTCTGCACGCCGCTGTCTGTGGACCTCCGTATCTGCCTCTCTCTCTCCTCGCTCTGGTCCTCCCTTGCTTGTCTCGTCCCCTCCCCTCCTCTTTAGCTCCCCCTCCTCCTCCTCTGTCTTCCCCCTCTTCTGTCTTCCTCCTCCTCTCTGGCCCCTCCACACACTGGATCCCTTCGCTTCTATCTTCTCTCCCTCCGAGGTGTCTATCTACATTTTCCAGCAACAGCCTCTTCTCCACAATCGCCTATCTCTCCCTCTCTCTCTAGGTGTCTCATCTTTGTTTTATGTGTCAACCAAGCCTCTCTCTCTTACTCTCACTTTCCCCCCGCTGCCTCTCGTTTATTTGATCTTATTCTCCTCTCCCTGCTTCCATCTCCGGCGCGATTTTCTTTATTCTGACTGTTCCCTTGCTTTCCCATGAATCTCTCTCTTCCTTATCTCGCTCTCTGTGTTTCAAACTCTGTAAATATCTTCGCAGTGTTTTTCTCTGTCTTGTTGCTTTTCCTCACTTACTCTTTTTGTCTTGTGTCAGCACGTTTACAAAAAGTAGAAGGTAGCTGGAAGAAATTAGGTTATGTTGGAAATGTAAAGGGGATTATCACCACACTGCAGTTCCACTCAGTTCTACAAGTGTTTTAGTATCTTTCAGCTGTTTTGGTTTAACAGCCCACAACTTTTGGATCACTCTCGCTGCTTTCATCACCCTCATTTTCAGCCACGACACACTCCAAGACCCTACCTACTCTGGAGTAAACTGCAGGCAGACACAGTAAGCAACTAGCTGGTGAACATAGTGGAGAATTAAGCAACTAAAGAGTCCAATATTTTTCCCAGGAGTCGGTGGAGACCAAAAACAGAGCTATAGGAAGAGTGAATATTGCACTTGATTTCAACTTATAACCAAATGATTTCTAGAAGGAATTTCTTTCTCGTTTTTTTAACAACTCTCAAAGAATGATAAGTCAACTCGATTCACAAGCAGGATGAATATAAAATCCTGCGCATAGCCAAGTTAACTTACGAGAGGCACTGCCCCTGACTCTTGTTTAGCACGACTGTCGTTAAGCGCACTCCACATAAGCCATTGAGATGTTGAAAGCACCTGCTCTCTGAACCAAAAAGAAATGACAGTCGTTTATGAGCCTTTTTTCTAGTGTAAGGAGAGCATTCACTGCTGCCACTGGTGGCCAACATGTTTTAAATTAATCACTAGGTGTAAAAGCTCTTCTGAAGCCCAGAAATGTCTGTTTCTAGTCCAGTTAGAAATTGCGAAACATCTCTGGCTTCTTTAATTTGACCTGATTTGTATTGACATTAACGGTTGTTCTTCATTGTTACTGTTTTTCTTTTTTAGGCAGTTTGTATTCTCTCCTTATCTCAGCCTTATTTTGGAACCATGGTTAATTTATTTTAGTAGTTTACAGGCTCTGTGGAGAGGACTCTGTTTTTTCTTAAACTGTGAATTTGAGAGATATCTGTCAAACCTGATTTATGTATACTTATGCAGGCTGCCGTGTATTAGTGTTTAGGTAGAACTTGTATTATCTTATTTTCAAACTTAGATGCATACTGTAACAATCTTCCTTTAATCCTGCTGTGCTGTCACACTGATATTTTCCTTCCCTGAAGTAATTTCTGGAGAAATATAGACAAGTAAACAAGTTTATCAATTTCCCTTTAACCCAATTATGGAAACCAGGTTTCTTGTTTACTTGACATCAAAGAAATCAGATTACTGCACCAAGCTGACAGTAACACAGTTACTTAAGTGTGTGTAAGTGCACTGATTGATTTTCTTTTTTTGTGTTTCCCCTCTTTTACACCTCCCTTTCACCCTTTGTGGATGACACTCGCTGTTTTATTTTCTCTCTGAAGCTCACACACTCATGCCGAGACTCTTTTTGTTGCATTTGACTCCCTTCAGTCTAGTTTCGCTCTCTCCTTCTCTTTCTTTTCATGAGTAGTTTTTTGCCCCTCTCTAGCTGGTTGTAATCAGACTCAACAGGAGCTGATATCAGGCTGCTGCTGCTCTGCTTCTGCAGCCATGAGACTCTGCTGCTGCTGCTGCTCCTCTCACACACACACACACACACACACACACACACACACACACACACACACACACACACACACACACACACACACACACACACACACACACACACACACACACACACACACAGAGAGAGACAGTTAAAAACAGATAAACAACCACACTTTTGAAATGAAATACACACTGAACATACCTTTGAAAGACGCACCCAACTCCTGACATTTGCAGACTCACATGGACCCGAACAAAGGCAATATGAAAACAGACTCATTTATCCACAAAGAAAAGTCCAGTGAACCTGCACACCTGCTTAAAGGCCATTGCACAGCGGGGTCATGGTGAATAAGCTTAACAAAAACAAAAACAATACATACCGGTATCGACTAAAATTCGCGGGAGTTGCAACACAGACGTGAATTATTTGCGGAGTCAGAGGACGGAACTTGGATCGTATTGAGAGTAGCGTCAGGTAGTCTGCAACTCTGCATGAGGTGAGTTATTGTTGAGTCTAAGCTAATGTTGTTGGCTATATTATTAGTACATTTGAGTTCCCACTGGTAAACAGTTTGGCAGGAAACGTGTCTAGGGCTTTTATTGTGAAAGGACGGAAGAAGTGGATGTGGTATGCGATTCATCTGTCAATGCTGAAAGGAAAAATAAAGTTTTTTTGTTTTTTTTTTAAATAGTCAGGTTAGTGTCCAGCTTTTTTTCTCCAAACATGTAACAAAAACATTAAAATTAAAATAAAAAAGAAGTAAACAAAACAATCATATGCAACAAACATATGTAAAGGCCCATATTGTGATATTTGTTTTACGAGCACTAAAAAAATAATATTTTTAGGTCATTAGAAATGGCTTCCAAATGTTTGTCAAACTGTAATCCTCATCAATTCAAAAGGATGACTACATAATAACTAAGAGCTGACATATCAATATCATCACTGCTTCCCACCTGATATAATATGTACTGAATGTAATTGTAAAGAATTGATTTGTCTGCGTTGTCCAGTCCACACAACCCATGGGGGCGGTTTTTAGCAGCCCTTTGTATCAATTTCGTATGTCTTTATGATGCAGTTGAGGCACATCAGAGGAGGGGGCAACATCTCCCACAGACTTTACAGCTGTTTTGAGCTTATAACTTAATGTGCATATTAGTGAGGCGCAAAGGCAGTGTATACAAACTGGTCAGTAGAAGCAATGCCATGGATAGACATCAATCTTTTTTAAATCAGTTTTCGGGTACACACTTGTTAGCTACTGTAACTTGTGTTGCCATGCTGGATAAAGCTAGCAAGTCAACGCATGAGTTTACAGCTTGTGTGTGCTTTCTCTTCATACTTTATCCTAAGGTAATACCAGGTAAAGGCTTGCTGGTGTGTTTAGCGATAAGCTAATAATCCAAATTCTTTCTAGTTTAAATGTTTTCCTGTTGCAAACATATACACACACAATAAAGCAATTCCCGAGCAATATGTCTCTATGAATGTAATAAATTGGTTGTACAAGTGATATCAAAGAGAATCTGGAGGCCATTAAATGCAACTGTGCGTGTGTTTCCAGAAATAACCAAGAAGATAGCAATCGGTTGTCTCCTAATTGTCAAAGTTTTATTTTTCCTTCTGAATACCCCAGAGTTGTTCCCCTGGTAGTGACAGTCGATGGTGTTGGTTTATTTTAAGGGTTCAACTCGCATGAATGTCATCATCACACCTCCAGTGTTTGATGTGTGAATGTGATGCTAAAAATCAACAAGAAGGAGCAGAAGCAAGCACTGTTTTTATATATTTTTCTCTAATCAGCTCTCATTATGCTTTATTGCATCTCACCCAAATTGATAGACAAATAATTATATTTTAGATGTTTCTCTGGTGTAAAACCTGCTAACAGAGGCAATCAATGACTTTACGTTTATATATGTGTACATGTGCATATCTATGCAGCATAGATGACAAAAGTGAATGTGTGTGTTTGATGCTATTCCATGCCCATGTTTAACTTCCGCCTGGAATTATGGCACATACACACACACACACACACACACACACACACACACACACACACACACACACACACACCCACACACTCACACACTTTGTCTGATTGGCCCACTGTAACGCTGCGGCTGAAGGTCAGACAGAATTGACCGCTTTTGAGCCCCGGCTGCTGGTATCGACTAAGAATGAGATGGTTTCTCGATCAAAGTGATGTCTCACACACACACACACACACACACACACACACACACACACACACACACACACACACCCCTAAACGCACACTGAGATATCAAGCCAGACAGTTGGTGGCATCATCAGCTGTCTGCTCAGAGTGGGGGAAAAAAACTGAATCAAATATATTATATGTTCTCAAGTGCTGTGTGTGATTCCTCTCTGCTATCAACCCCTTCAGGCTCCTCTGCTGCGGCCATTTTGCACAGCACAGATGTTTTCAATTAATCCTGAATTCCCATTTTCCCTGTCCACCCCGCACCCTCTCCCACGACTCCCCTACAGAGTACAGCTCCAGTAAATAAGTTTATTCTATCTGAAATGGCAGCTCTCCCCTTTTCTCTCTCTCCTTCCTCTTTATCCTCATTCCCCCATCCTGACGTTTTCCACGCGCACCGGCTGTGGCGAATATGTTTTTTAACCTTGACTCGCAGGTGTCAGTGCAGAATGGGGCATTATTTGTCACCATAAATAGTGTTTTAAGCAGCGGCAGCAGCCCTGCAGGAAAAGCCCAGTGTGCCTCGTGCGAGTGCTGCCCGGGATACTACATTAATCTTGCTGTCACTTCCATGACGCTTTTCATTAGTTATAGGGCTATCTGATCAACAGGCAGACTCTCCACTTTTCAAAGCAGTCCACCAGCAGCCAGGGAGAGGAGAGAAGAGGAGCTGGAGGTGTGTAAAGAGAATGAATGAGACTTAAAAATAATCAAAGGAGGACTTCTGATCAAAGTTTTTTGGAAGGTGGACCCATGTGGCGCAACTGAAAACCTGCTGACCCTTTAACAGAAACATTATGTGATATGAAAATCAAAAAAATGTGTTTCTTATCAGTTATAATTTGTCCGTT